ACAATATATTTAATAAGATAATATAAAATAATATATTATTATATTGCAATATTCGCTTCTCTCGTTTTTTTGTTCTAAATGCGGAAAAGAATTTATTTTTTTTTTACGTTTAACAGTGATTGTCTGATTCTAAACTTTACTTATTCAATATAAACTCGAAATCAGTTTATGAAATCAGAATAGTGTGATTTTATAATAATCGTAATGAAAAAGTCAATTTTTTGTCATTTTCAAATACCTATTTCCGTATTAGATAAAACATGGATTTATAATGCATTAAGAATAGAATTTTTAAGACTGCATCCAGTAGATCGAGAAATTTACGGAAGATTTACGAAGAATTTAACGGATTTAAAAGTTTATGAAATAGGAAGTCTGTAAAAGATTAAAACTCAAAGAGAAAAAATTGTTCATATATGTAAGAATCCATAGAATAATGTTCAACAATATAGAATAACAAAAACGTAGAAGTTTATATATATTTTTCGCACCATCGTTGTCAAGCAGGCATTCATGAAATGGATTCTATTGCAATCTATTCTTCATGTTGTAATTGCATTCATAAAAATAATCCATTTTATGGATATATTTTTGTATTTTATTTAATCTTCATAAATACATACATGTATCTATGTATACATATATAAAGATTATATATACATGATTTTATCGATTTCCGATATTTGCTCAATATCAAGATTTATCTAGTTTGAATACACAAATAATGCGAAATATTTTTAAAGATAATGGTAACAGATTATATCTTTATTATTAATCATAGAAATACTAGTCATGTGTTCATATTTTATAACGATGATTATTTAACCCTCTCATATAAAGAAGTACGTATCATCATTTACTTTCATTTAATAATCTAAATATCATATGTTTTTTTAACTTTAAAAAAAATTCCATTAATATTATCATTTTCTTCATCATCATAATCTGAAATCTCATCAAAAGATTAGGTCCAATCTTTATCTAGATTTTACTTTTTTGTTTTTCTGTTTGTTAACTTGTTAAAACTTTGTAGAAACTTTGCCTAAAAGATTTTCAATCAGTCTATATATATTAGATCTGTGTATGTATACTGTGTGTGTATACATATATATATACATATATATATATATATACATGTCTTTAAAGTCTGACTCAAGCCCTATATCTCGGAAATAGTTTTAGATATGGAAAAATGTTTCAGACAAAAGTTGTAGGATATTACCGGAGACATATGATGAAAAAATGGATTTGACTTTGAATGACCTCAAGGTCAAGTCAATGTGATCAAGTCAATGTGTTTTCTTAAATGAAACCCGCCATTTTTTATTGCATA